ACATCACTCTCAAATGTCTCCCTTAAAAAAGCATTTTGGTGCATCGCCTTAACCTTCCCCCCTACACCCCCCCTCACCAAGTGATCTGTTAAGGGTCATATTGAGGCTAGATGCCTTGTATGGTCCAGTAATGACACCACAGCTCAGGTCATGATCTGTATTTCTGACCCTATATTTTTATTATGACCTCCAGAACACCTAACATTATGGTGACCACTCATTCTGCCTCTAGCCAGCAAAGGGTTAAATGTTTTTTTGTTTTTGTTTTTTTTTTTTAAAAAGATTTATTTATTTTTATACAAGAATTGGGGTACAGGCCGGAGATGCGTGTGGGGGGCAGTGAAAAGATTCACCAGAGACAGAATGGGGAACAGAACAGGCAGACAGACCAAAGTACACTGCTGAGGGGAGCAGTTGGCGAGACAGGAGAGGTCTGTCCAACCATGTGGGTTTCTCCCTGGCCGGCCGGGAATCGAACTCATGCTGCAGCGGTTGCAGATTGCTTCATAGGTTGCATCTTAACCCCTGCGCCACCAGGGAGGCCCTGGGTTAAATGTTTTAACACCACCTTTCATGCCAATGCCACATGGTTAACCTCTCTCATCACTCACCATAACATCACTAGCCTTAACATTACTCATCTGTTCATTCTAAAACAAAGGCTGCCAGGTAATCTTACCCGTGAGTGGATTGAGAATCTGCTCTTGAACAAATTACCGATGCTTTAGAACATACTCTTTTCGGGTGTCCTCATAGCTGCTATTATTGCTGCCCCTGCTATGGTCGCTGCTGCTGCTACTGCTATAGTCGCCCTTTCTCACTCCATTCACACTGCACAGCAAATGAATCAGTATTTTCAAAATGTTGCTTCGGAACTCCTGACTCAAACCACCAGTGATCAGGAAATCTTACAGCGACCAGATGTCCTCGAGGCTGCAGTGTCCTGGTTTGGTGAACATCAACAAGCCCTCAGGACACGCACCAGACTTAGTTGTGATGCCCAGTACCACTTAATGTGCGTTACTCCTGTTCCTTTTACTACCACTTCCTCTTGGGAAGACGTCCAATGGCGCCTTCACGGTGCCTTCCATGATCATCTGTGACGAAATACTCTTCATCTCAGAAACAAAATTCGGCAACAAATGGCTCAGCTGCAACAAGAGGTAAAAAATGCCACCTTAAGCCATCTAAATGATCCAGCCCACTGGCTAAACCCAACAAATTGGTTTTCAGGTCTCAATATCAAAATCTGGGTTATGACCATATTGGGTATATTATGTATTTCGTGTTTTCTTTCAGTGCTAAAGGCCCACTGTCCCTTGTTCTGGCAGACCCCAGACAAGCGGAGGCCAGGCTGGCCCTTCTACAGCCATCACCATATCAGCCCCTTCCTGTGCCTCCTGCTGACTCCTCTCTTGATTCTGACCCGCCATTAAAAAAAAGGGAAGGAAATGTGGGAGCTTAGATTATTCTTTGCCTTGACTATTTTGTGCCTCTCAGAATATGAAAAGGAAGAGTTTGAGATAAGGAACCTATCAGGGCAAAAGTCCTGAGAGGCCTGTCTCAGCATGTGCTGAAAACAGCAATACATGTTGTGCTTAGAGAAGCAAACCACTGACTCTCTCCCTGATATTCCAGCCTTGGCTGGGGCCAGCTGGTTACAAGTCCCCCCACACTTTGTGCATTCCCCATTTGCCTGCTGCTTCTTTGATTTTTTTAATTTTCTGTTTGATTCTAAATAAAAATACCCTTGGAGCTGGGCTGCCCCTTCATGGTGTGGTCCCTCTGCACATGGACTCTGAGTAATCCTTTCATGCCACTGCCACACGTCGTAACAATACACATTCACTGCTCAGTCTGATCTTTTATGAATATTTTCAAGCACACAGAAAAATTGAAATAACAGTGCAGAGCACCTTAAGCCATCTAAATGATCACACCACCTGGATCCCAGCATTAGCATTTGCCACATTTGCTTTATCACTTATCTTTATCCACAGATCCATCTCTCTATTCATCTATCTTATTTTTCTGATGTATTTCAAAGTTTGTTGCACATGTCAGTACCTTTCATTTCTCAACAATTGAGCATTCCAATTAACAAATAGAGCTCAAATTAGGTTAAGATTTTTCTTTGAGAAATGGAGAGACATCCCCTGCTCATGGATTGGAAGAATAAACATTATTAAAATGACCATCCTTCCAAAAGCAATATACAGATTCAATGCTATTCCAATCAAAATTTCAATGTCATTCTTCAAAGAAATAGAACAATTATTGATGAAATTCATATGGAATCACAAAAAACCCCGAATAGCCAAAGCTCTCCTGAAAAAAAAAGAAGGGAATGGAGGCATCACACTCCCAGACTTCAAACTATACTACAAAGCCATAATCATCAAAACTGCATGGTATTGGAACAAGAACAGACATACAGACCAATGGAATAGAATAGAAAATCCAGAAATAAACCCACAGATTTATGGTCAACTAATCTTTGACAAAGGAGCAAAGAATATGCATTGGAGCAAAGAAAGTTTGTTCAATAAATGGTGCTGGGAAAACTGGGTCGCTACATGCAAAAGAATGAAGCTTGACCACTACCTCACACCATACACAAAAATCAACTCAAAATGGATTAAAGAACTAGACATAAGACCTGAAACCATAAAATATATAGAAGGAAATATAGGCGAAACACTACGGGATTTGCACATCAAAGACATCTTTACAGACACATCACCCAAAGCAGTGATAGTGAAGGCAAAGATAAACAGCTGGGACTACATCAAATTAAAGAGCTTTTGCACAGCAAAAGAGACAATAACAAGAACAAAGAGAAACCCCACCCACTGGGAGAACATTTTTGCACCCAACACTAATGATAAAGGACTGATCACAAAAATCTGCAAAGAGCTGATGAGACTCAACAACAACAAAGAAAATAATCCAGTCAAAAAATGGGCAGAAGAGCTAAAAAGAAACTTCTCTGAAGAGGAAATGCAAATGGCCAACAGGCATATGAAAAAATGTTCAACATCACTTGTCATCAGGGAAATGCAAATCAAAACTACCATGAGATACCATCTTACACCAGTGAGAATGGCACATATTAAAAAAACTAGCAACAACAAATGTTGGCGAGGATGTGGAGAAAAAGGAACTCTTCTGCACTGTTGGTGGGAGTGCAAACTGGTCCAACCACTGGGGAAAGCTGTGTGGAGATTTCTGGACCTACTAAACATAGAGCTTCCATATGATCCAGCAATTCCACTCCTAGGTATTTACACAGGAGTGTAGGACACAGAAACATCCATTCCAAAGAACACCTGCACCCCTATGTTTATAGCAGCACTGTTTACAATAGCTAAGCTTTGGAAACAGCCCAAATGCCCAAAAATAGATGACTGGATCAAGAAGATGTGGTACATATATACCATGGAATATTACTCAGCATTCAAAAAAGATAAACACATGCAATTTGCAGCAACATGGATGGCGCTGGAAGGGATCATGCTCAGCGAAATAAGCCAAAAAGAAAAAGAAAAATACCGGATGGTCTCATTCATAGCAGGAATCTAGAAAACTTAAATAAGGGACCAGGAAAATGAATAACTATAAGAAAGTGAAAATCAAAATCAACAAAAAACTATGAACCAGAGACACTTTTAGGGGGGCGGGGGCGGGAGGGGAGGGATTGGGGTCAGAATGGGGGGGCTGCAATAGTATGGGGAATATAACAATAAAATTTATAAAAAAAAAAAAAAGATTTTTCTTTGAGCTAAAACTTTATTTGGTGAAATGCACAAACCTTAAGTATAGTGTTAAAGGTATTTTGACCTTTGTCAAGAACATTATGTATATTATTCTTTCCTTCTCTTGGAAATAATTAACATTTGAATAGTTTAATGATGTGTCACACTTAAAAATATAATTTATCAGTCCCCCCATCTTTTGAGTAACTACCACAGTCCAATCTGAAGCCTTCTTTGCCCCTCCATTCTCAGCACGTCCCTGTGACCACACTCTCCTTGGAACAGAGTCCATGCCTGAGTCATCTTCATAGTTATTTATTCTTATTCTATTTATTTGGATAACTTATTTTTCAACCATACATACATTTTTTAGGGGTTATAGGTATAAAACTCCAAAATATATGTTATCACCCCATATAAATTGATATATCAATATATGATGTTATTCATCTTTGATCTTTCAACAGATAAGTTATCTAATTCTCCCTTTTCTTTTCATCCACAAGACTATTAGTCAATCATAAGAGCAGCTTAGCTGTTTTCATATCTGCACAGCTATATATTACCCTATATATCTATGGTAAGTTTTTATTATCATTTTTATTATTTTATTATCAGTTTTATTATACAAACTTGTATTTATAAGCAATACCTGAAGCATAATTTCATTAGAGCAAGAGATGGTCATTTTTACTAGAAAAACGAATGTCTGAAGTTAGATGAAAAGACAAGGAAATAAGGCCTCCCTGGTGGCCAGGAGTTAAAATGTAGGTGCTATCAAGCTATCACCAGCCACTGCAGCATGAATTGGATTCCGGCCAGGGAGATGACCCACGTGAAGCAGCAGACCTCTCCTGTCTCACCCGCTGCTCCCCTCAGCAGTGTATTTCAATAGATGCACCTGTTCTGCTCCCCACTCTGTCTCTGGTGAATCTTGTCACCTCCCTCCCCCCACACACATACCTCTGGCCAGTTCTTGTATACATAAATAAATAAAAATTAATCTTTAAAAAAAGAGAAGGAAATAATGATTTAATTTTATAATTAGCCTGTATGTAGTCACCCAAGTCACATCAATTCCTTTACATGAGTACTACTTTAACATTACATAACAAGTTATTAACAGAAAATACACAAGCCAGAAACTTTATAGCCTTAAACTTCAAATCAACCATCAACTTTTCTTAGGTATTTGAAGATATAAAAATAAAAATCATTTCATATAATAGCATGCAAACGACATACCTTTGTAAAGTGGTGGGACAGTCAAACTATTTCCTAGGTTTTAGCTGAAATGACCATCAAAAGTGTTCAGATTGTATCCACCTCGTTTTTGGGCAGTTTGCCTCCTTGAGCCTAAGCAGAGGACAATATTAAAATCCATAAATGATCCCCACTGACACTGAGGTGTAAATGGGAGTCTGGGTCTTTAGGCCTCAAATGGAAACAAAACACCCCCTGTAGAATGACTGAGCATGAGCGGTCTTTTCCATGTCATTTCCTGTGGTCTGTGGTTTGTTACTGCACCTTCTAGAAAAACAAATGAGTTTCCTTTTTCTCGAGATTCTTTCTCTCAGGTTTAGGAGATGCTCCCTGCTTTCCTGAGCCTCCCTGTCCAGGACCCCACAGCTCTTCACACTGGACAGGGTGGTCTCTGTCCACATCCCTGACTCGGGTCATGGTTTTGCATCAATAATCTGTGACTCTTAAATCTGTCTCAAGCCCTGAGTCCCACCCACCTTTCCCCACGCACCACTTGGTACATAACCCTGGAAATTATTGTGGTCCTAGCCAGCCCCAGAGTCTGTCCTCACAGATTTTCTGTCCCCCATGGACTGGCCTCTGAGTCCCCTCTTTGGTTTCCCTGCTCCTCCACTCAGTCACCACAGATATTGTCCTGGAAGCTGGGAAAGGCTTCCTCTCCATGTCTTGGCTTCTCACCAGCCCCTGAGACCTGCCCTCCAGGCAGGGTGCCCGACTGTGTGTTCACACTCCTGGAAAGCAGTAGGGGCAGGACAAAAGATTGCTGGGCGTGGGTAAGGGTGACTAATCCATGGGATCTCTCCCCTCCAACTTGTGGGTGCAGGTCACCCTCCCCCAACAATTCTGAGATCCAAAAGGGGGTACCTTTTGGCTACAGGTCAGAGTTGACCTAAAAGGGGGGGCTTTTCCTGTCATTCTCATCCAGGTGGGTAACGAGGCCTCCACTGCCTACTCATCCCTGGGCTGTGTCCTCAGATCTTCTTTTGAACCCCTGCCTGGCCAGCTAACAAACGAGAGAACAAAGATATCCTGGCTGACATTGGGAATATAAATTTCGATTCTTACACCACAATTGAGGCAGGAGGTAAAATGCTGGAGACTAAAGTGAGAGACTCATGGCAGCTGCTGGGGAAGCTGCCTTTGTTCTCATGAGACCAAGTGAGAACAAGCACTTTGGGAAACTAATGTAAATCTTTTGTCTCAATTTAAAGCCATAAAACAATTATTTCCTTTAAATGTTAACTTAAAGCAAATGTTTTTGTATTAAAGAAAATTACTAGGACCCCAAAATTACCAGGGCCCTGTGGGCCAGTTAAAATCCATTAGGGTGTCTGTACATTCTGGAAAGTTGTGTCCTCATTGTCGTTCAACTCAAAGTATTTTTTAATTTCTTCTTTTATCTCCTCTTTAATCCAATGGTCTTCCCATAGTGTGGGTTTCAATCTCCATGAAGTGGGAGTTTCCTTGCTTGCTTTTCATGGATTATTTCTGGTTTGATGCCTTTATGATCAGAGAAGATAGTTGGAATGATTTAGATCTTAATGTATCTGTTGATTCTTGTCTTGTAGCCCAGTATGTGATCGATTCTGGAAAATGATATGTGTACTCGGGTATTTTTTTGGGTGCAGTATCCTATAGATGTCTGTTAAACCCATAAGGTCTAGGTCTTTATTTAGGGTTCTAATGTCCTTGCTCATTTTTTGTCTCGTTGATCTGTCCATTGGTAAGTGGGGTATTAAAATTTCCTACTATATATGCATTTTCTCTAATGTCTGTTTTCAGAGCTGATCGTATGTTGGTGCTCCTTCATTTGGTGAGTATATCTTAACCCCCATGTTTATGGGAGCACTATTTATAATAGGTAAGATTCGGAAACAACCAAAATACCCAAAGAGATGACTGGATCAAGAAGATGTGGTATAGGACCTCCCTGTGGCACAGAGGGTTGAGCACCATGCTCTGAAGCTGTCCGCAGCCTCTGCAGAGCAGGTTCAATCCCAGCCGGCAAGAATCCCACATGGTGCAGCAGACTTCTCCTGTGGCACCTGCTGCTCCCCTTGGCAGTGTATTTCTATCGTCTGCCTGTTCTGCTCCCCGCTCTGTCTCTGGTGAATCCTCTAACCCTCCCGCACCTCTGGCCTATACCCCAGCTCTTGTGTATAAATAAATCGGCTGACTGGGCCCGGCGTTGGGACGCCCTCAGAGCAGCGCCAGACCCGAGGCCCCCCACCCGCCATGGCCCGATGATGGCGGCTGCTCCCAGGGCCCCGGCTGAGGGCGTTGGCTAGAAACAGAGGCGGGATGGCGCCTGGTGAGCAGAGCGCATCTCTAGAAGGAGCTCCGGTGGCAAACCGTCACCACCACAAGCTGCCCTTTGTGGACAATCCCTTGAGGAGAGAAGAGGCCGGAAAGGATTTCCCAGCTGGCTCGGGTCCTCTCAGCCGCAGGTGGCTCCCGGTGGAAGGGGGCCACCCAGGAGCACCCGGAGTGGCACCACCTGAGATTCCGGGAAAAGACAGTACAGATGCAGCGAGTGTGGGAAAGAAAGCTTTTGGTCAGAAATACTTGCTTGTTCAGCATCAGGGACTGCACACCCGTGAGAAGCCCTATGAGTGCAGCGAATGTGGGAAATTGTTTAGCCATAAATCCAATCTTTTCATCCACCAAATAGTGCACACTGGGGAAAGGCCTTACGGGTGTCACGAGTGCCCCAACGCCAACCTCATTCAGAACCGGAGGGTGCACACTGGAGAAAAACCTTTCATTTGCAGCAAATGCGGAAAAGCCTTCAGGCATAACTCCATGCTGGTGCAGCACCACAGAATCTACACCTGCATCAGGCCTTACCAGTGCAGTGAATGCGGGAAGTTCTTCAGTTTCAACTCAAGTCTCATGAAACATCAGAGAGTCCACACTGGAGAGAGACATTATAAGTGCAGTGAATGTGGAAAATTCTATAGCCACAAGTCAAGCCTTATTAATCACTGGCAAGTTCACAATGGAGAGAGTGCAGCGAGTGTGGGAAACTTTTTAGTCAAAGCTCCAGCCTCATGCAACACCGAAAAAAAGTTCACACTGGAGAAAAGCCTTTTAAGTGCAACGAATGTGGAAGGTTTTTCAGCAAGAATTCCAGCCTGGTTAAACATCAGAGGGTACACACTGGAGCAAGACCTCATGAGTGCAGGGAATGTGGGAAATTTTTTCGCCACAGCTCCAGCCTTGTTAAACACCAGAGGATTCACACTGGAGAGATGCCTTATGAGTGCAGTGAGTGTGGGAAAGCCTTCAGTCAGCGTTTCAACCTCACTCAACACCAGAAAGTTCACAGCGGAGCGACGTCTTGAATACACACAACGGATGTGGAAAGGATTTGAACCAAAAGTCTGCTCTGATTCAGCAACAGGACTCACAGCCCCGACAGGCCTTAGGAAAACGGTGAATGTGCAGAAAGATACTGGCACCAGGGAGGCACAACTGGAGAAAGCCTTCTGAGCACAGGGCACGGGCTGCCTCCTCATCAGCACATCCTGTGAGTAGCCTCCCCTGCAGTGGAACCTCCTCCAGTCAGTATGCACAGGGGCAGGGCGCAGGATGAGAGGAGATGGCCCTGCCTGGGCGCTCCCGGGCGAGGGGCCCTGTGTTCTTGTCTGCAGCTGCCTGGAAATCTGCCTACATCTCTCGAGTTTGCAGGGAAGTAAGAGGAAACAGTCTTGGTTCTTTTTTGACTGGCTTTTGCTGTGATTGCGGAGTATCAAGGTTTTCTTAAAGAAATGTTTCTTCATCTGCTGCAAACCCTTCGGACCATTTCCAGAGTTGTAAATTGTGTTTCATAATTTCACTAGTTTTCCTGGGAAGCAGGCTTGCCAAGCTCCTCAGTCTGTCCTGCTTGGAGTTGGTCCAAATACTTAGCTTTTAAAGAATCTGCCAAATTGTGTTCTAAATGGTTATGCCACTTCCCGTGTCCTTCTGGTGAATATTAGATCTTGTTTCTTCACGTCCTCGCTGACCTCTGTGGCGTGAGCCGTTCATGTTAACTGTTCTAGCAGGTGTGTGTGGGATTTTGTTGTGGTTTTAATTGGTACTTCTTCAGTGACTCAGTATTAAGCATTTTTCCATCCGGGAGAGAGGTATTTGCCATCCAGATAATTGTAATGAGTTATCGCTTCAGTTTTTCTTTTGCCTACTTAAAAATAAGTTGGTTTCTTACTTATTTTGCAGTTTCTTGATAGGGTACGTCCTCACCACCGTTGATAGGCTCTTGAAACTGTTGTTAAACAGAATGAGGTACAGTGACTGCTTTTATTCAGTGACCCACTACAGCAGAGCTGTGTTGCTCAGGGACCTGCTGTATTCTGGATTCAAGATTTTTATACTTGATATATATACTTTATCAGTATTTTCTTAGTCTGTGGCTTTGATTTTTCTGTTCCTTTCTTTCCCAAAGCAGAATTTCTTAATTTTCATGAAATCCAATTTATCCATTTGATTTTTTTTTTTGACTACGCATTTGTTTTTTTTTTTTTTTCTTTAATGGGGCTGAGCTTTGCTTGTAAATAAAAACCTTATGTGAATATGCTAAAAAAATAAAATAAATAAATCTTTAAAAAAACAAAGAAAAAGAAGAGGTGGTATATATACACAATGGAATACTATTCAGCAACCAAAAAAGATAAACTCATGCCATTCACAGCAATGTGGATGGAACTAGAAGGGATTATGCTCAGTGAAACAAGTCAGAAGGAAAAAAAAAATATCACATGCTTTCACTTATAGGAAGAATATAGGGTAACCAAATAAGGGATCAGGGAAAAAATAATAACAATAATAAAAAAACAAACAGGCAACTATAAATCAGAGACATTCTGCAGGGGAGGGGAGGACAAGGGATCAAAACAAGGATGGGAAGAGCACAAGGGACTATGGTGATGGTGCACAGGTGAATTGGTGGTGGGAGTTCTATGGGGACCATCCCTGAGAAAAGAAAGCAAACATTGTACAAAAATTAACAATGATGTAAAATACATATACATATATATATAAATTATTTTTAAAAAAGACCACTAGGGTGGGGGCCTCCCTGGTGGCAAAAGGGTTAAAGTCTCAGCACTATCAAGCTATCATGAGCCACTGCAGCATGAGTTCAATCCCCAGTCAGGGAACTGACCCACATGGCACAGCAGACCTCTCCAGTCTCGCCCGCTGCTCCCCTCAGCAGTGTATTTCAGTCAGTCTGCCTGCTCTGCTCCCCACACTGTCATGGGTGATTCCTCTCACTCCCCACACCTCTGGCCTACACCCCAATTCTTGTAAGCCTGAATAAAAAAAAAAAAAAAAACCTACGGTGACTGTAGGCAGAAAAGTCTCATGGTAGGCTGTGTGCTCTAGAGTAGAGACTCCTGGGGTCTTTGGAGGCAGGAAGTTGTCCTCTCTTGCACCACTTAACCACAGGCCCAGGGCTCTGCTACTCCTGACCTCACTCATCATCTTGGAGGCCGTCCCGTATCCTAGACCTAAGTAAATCCTCAAGTCAGTAAAAATTGCTTATAGTTAAATTAATAAAAGCTCTCCATCTCTTCACAAGTAAAAACCAATTCAAAATTTAGTAGTTTAATTTAAAACATATTTGCCTTACAGTTACGATGTTGGGAATTAGCACTTGATTCTGTATTTAAATGTGATTACTTAAAAAAAAAAGCTCATGTTATTCAGCAAAAAAAAAAAGTGATTAATCCACCTATGTCGACAAAGATAAATTTGCCTTTTGATGTTAATACCAAAACTTCTCTTTATGAAATTATATTCCAAAAGACAAATCCACTTATCATTACTTAAAGTTTTATTGAGTTATAAAATTTGTTAAATATCTAAAGTTATTTTATTTAAAATCGCTGAACTTTCAGGTTTACATTTTGCTCCTTATTTTAAAGAAGCTGAAATTCTGATGTCATGTAACTGAAAGGAAAAAAAGTCAATAATGTGTTTAAGTGTAAGACATTAGTGCAAAGGGATGATAGTACAATAATTGCTTCAATATTTTACAATCTAGAAAAAAAACTAGGGTGTTATAAATCTGAACAGAGGTAAAGTAAAATGCGTGTTTTTAAAAAGGGTTTAATATCAAATTAAAACTGGTTATCTTTGAAATAAAGTACTATAAAACAGAAAAGAAAAAGAAAATATTTAAAGTTAAAGGCATCTTAAAAAAAATTTTATATGGTCCTCCAACTCACTATAATAGCATTTAAATTAAACTTTAATATTTCTAGTGTGCTTATATGATACCAAACTTAAATTTTTGATTTGCAAGAAGAACTAAAGTATTCTTGGACTGTCTTTATTAATTTTTAATAATCCGGCCAGCATTGCTAAGCCTTGTGAGAAAAATAACATCTACTCTGAAAAATCTTTGTCATTCCAGGTAATTAAGTATTTTATAAAAATCTGTACATTTCTTAATCCTATGCAAACTTCCAGGATATCAAATATTCTAAAATAGTAAAGATTTTTCTTTGAAAGTCTTGAAAGGACTCTTAAGACATCTGATAAAGTTGTTTTTCTTGTGAAAAACAAATTGGGTCAATTTCAGTGTATTAAAATTAAGAAACATTTTTTTGCCGTTAAAAAAATGGTTACATGGCCTCCCCAGTGGCGCAGTGGTTGAGCGCTGGGTGGCGAAGCGGCCCGCAGTCTCTGCAGCGCTTGTTCGATCCCCGGCCACCGGGCGAGGGTCCCACATGGTGCGCAGACTTCTCTTGCCGCCCGCTGCTCCCCTCAGCAGTGTACTTCGTCAGTCTGCCTACTCTGCTCTCCCCCTCTGGCTCTGGTGAATTCCCTTACCCTCACGCTTCTGACTGTACCCAGTGCTTGTATAAATAAATAAATCTTGGGAAAAAAAAATGGTTACATGGGCCTCCTCAGTGGCGCAACGGGTTGAGCTCAGTGCTGTGAAGTTGTCCGCAGCCTCTCCAGTTTGGGTTCGATTCCCCACTGGCCAGGGAGATACTCACATGGTGCAGCAGACCTCTCCTTTCTCTCCCGCTGCTCCCCTCAGCAGTGTTTTTGGTCCATCTGCCGGTTCTGCTCTCCTCTCTGTCTCTGGTGAATGCTCTCACCCTCCCACGCCTCTGGCCTGTACCCCAGTTTTTGTATAAATAAATAAATCTTTTTAAAAAAAATGGTTACACCTTTTCAGCATAAAAATATACCAATATAAGTGATTCTAAAATTTACGAGTTCTTAAAACTTCGTACGTTCTGGTGGGTGGTCCCTAGAACTGGCCTTAAAGCTGTGACCAAGTGATCACCTGCCTCCTTCAGGGGACACAAAAACAATTGTTAATTTTGATTTTTACTTTATTGTAATTAGTAAAGTCTTTTTAGGTTTTCTTATTTAGGTTTTCTAGATTCCAGCTATGAGTGAGACCATCCAGTATTTTTCTTTTTCTTTCTGGCTTATTTCGCTGAGCATGATCCCTTCCAGCTCCATCCATGTTGCTGCATATTGCATGAGTTTATCTTTTTGATTGCTGAGTAATATTCTATTGTGTATATGTACCACATCTTCTTGATCCAGTCATATATTTTGGGGCTTTTGGGTTGTTTCCATAAATCAACAAGCAACTATAAACCAGAGACACACTACAGGGAGGAGGGACTAGGATCAGAACAAGGGGGTGGGTGGGAATTGAATGGGGACTATAACCAAGATGAAAATGCATACATTGTACAAAAATGAAAAATGATGTAAAAATATATAAGATTAAAAAATAATAATAATAAATGCTACTTTAAAAACAATTGTTAAGCTCTTCAATTATAACAAACGGAGCAAGTTTACTCAGGAGCCCGAAAAAAATCCTGCATTATTTCAGGCTAGACTTGCTGAGGTCATAAAAAATATATACTAATCTGGCCCCAGGGACAGTAAAAAATGAAGCCATTCTAGAAGCCCCTTCATTAGCCAGTCTTGCCCTGGATCAAGAGCCTCAAACCCCTTTCTCACACTTTTGGGTATGACCTTCAAGGTCAACAGTGACAGGGAGACCGGCCAGACTAAAAAGAAGAGGAAGAAAGACCCAGTATATGTCGGCAGCCATTGGCAGTGCTGCCACCATAGACATCCGAGACCCCATGTGTGCCCAGGGTGCTCGGGACCTCAGCTGCTTAAAGGGCCTGAAGGAACCGGGACATTTCAGCCACAAGTGTCCAAAGAGACCGCCCAGGGCCATGCCCTCTGTGCCATCACACAGGGCATTGGAAGAGGGACTGTCCCTCTCTCTACAGAGGGAAGGGCAGCCCAAACCACAGGCCAGACTGGAGGCCAAAGGGACCACAAGCTGTCTCTGACAGTGAAGACTCCAGTGCAGGAGGGAAAAACCTTCTCTAAAGGAGCCAGAGGTGAGACAGGCTCCCCCATGAACTCTCTCTAAGGACAAACCTTGGCTTGACTTCAATGAGCCCCTTGGAGAAATCAGGTTTAATTCCAAATACATGAAAGATAAGCTTTAGCACATCTGGAATCTATGTTACTTTCCTGGGGTACCTTTCCCTCCCATGGGCCATTGCCTGGACCACAGGGAAGCCTGCAGTATGCACAGCTGCTGTGCTTTCTCCTCCAGCACCCACATGGGTTTTATCCTGGGTTTGAAGGATTTAACCTGCATCTGTGAGATTTAAAGGTCAACCAAGATTTGGGTAGTTTCTACTCCAATTTTGTCGATCATGCTATCAGTGGTTGCCTTGCTCCTAGCTTATACCCCAAATTTCCAAATGTCTGTCCAGCTATAAAGTCCCACCCTCAATAGCTCAATCCAGTAAATTTTTTGTGTTTGACAGCCTGAGCTTTGCGGGGAGTGGACAAGTCGTCAGTGAAAGGTGGAGACTCACCGATTTCACCAGGATCAGTCTGTCTCTTTCAAAGCAAAAATACCTCTTGGTGTTGTGGCTTGGTATCGTGGTATTGTGGCTTTTCTAGCAGTTTTCTTGAGCGCCCCACACCTGTGCACAGTTTGTATTCAGATTTGATTTCAACCCTTCTGCTCTCTCAGGTTTATATTTCCCCTGGAATGTCCGGCTGCTCTGCTCTGCCCCTGAGACACTGGGCTGCAGTGTCTGCTGGGGAGAAGAGCACCCGCGAGTGAGAAGGCTGCGCATTGCAGATTCTACTCATTACAGGAGCTTTCAAGATGAAATTTCTTCCCATGTTTCTGCTGCCTTGGTTTATTCTTCTGGTTACTTCAAATATTTATTTTTATACTTTTGTTCAATTGTTGTAATTACCTTCTGCCAAAGACTTGCTCAAACTATTGTTTTATACTTTCACATATCAATTTTTAAAATTTATTTCATATATTGTTGTTCATTTTTGTGCAGCTTCTCCCCTCAGGTGTATTCCCCATAGCTCTCCCACCACCCCAGCACCTGGGAACGCTCACCATAGCCGTGTGCTCTTCCTTCTCCTGTTGTGTAACTCTGGTCTACAGTCATCTTGCAACTTTTGCCTTTTCTTGATGTTTTGTTCAGTTTCTCTATATGCCACATATAAATGAAGCCATCTTACATTTATCTTTGTCCTTTCCACTGATTGTGCCTTGCATAATCACGTCCAGTGTCATCCCTTTTGCCTCAAATAACATGACTTTGTCATTTTTCATTGCTGAGTAGTATTCCATTGTGTGTGTGTGTGTGTGTGTGTGTGTGTGTGTGTGTGTGTGTGTGTGTATATATATATATATATACCATACCTTTTTGATCCATTTGTCTGCTTGGGGCATTTGGATTGTTTCCATATCTTGAGAATGATAAATAATGATGCAATAAACATAGGAGTGCAGGTTTCCTTTCACAGTAGTATGCCCTAGGTATTAGCATAAATTCCTAAGAGTGGAATTACTGGATCATATGGTAGATCCATTTTTAGTGTTTGGAGGAAATTCCACACACCTCCGTAGTGGCTGCACCAGTTTACATTCCCACACTTGCTGAACCTCTCCACCTGGCCATCAGCAGTTCCACCTGACAGAGGATTTGGGGGAGAAGGTCACAGCCCACAATTTGATCATGTGAGACTAATGTGCATCCAGGCCTTAGGATCCCTTCTCAGGTTCTCAAACTGACATGAGACTAGATCGGGGTCTGGGAAGCGCAGAACCCCTCAGGAACCACTGACTGTGCACAGCCACCACGACAACAGAGGTTGGTCTCTCTGGCCTCGCTGTAGTTTGGAGGCAGCACCTGCACACTGAGGATGCTCCTGCATTATCTAGATCACCAGAAAAACAGTTGTATTTGAAAGGAGCCCTGGAAGTGGTTAGCTCACATCTGAAACTGTCTCTGCATTTGTCTCATCCTCCCCAAACCATGAGATCACAGGCGTCTCATCAATCTGACAGATGCTTGTGGGCTCCGACAGCGAGAGCCCCCATTACCCATGGGTTCTGGGCCTCTTGAATAGGGACCCTTCACCTCTGAGGAGCACAGGCATTTTGAGATATGACTGGATAATCCCACGGGTCAGGAGTTTAATGAATACTGTTGCACCAGGAAGGCACAGAGTAGTTTCTCTATGACCCAGGCAGATGGGTAGAGGAGGAGTCTGGAGCCCTCAGGGGTTTCTCAGGCTTTTACTGAACTTTCTACACCATTTGCAGTGAGGTGACCAGGTGCAGGGAAGGCAGGGGAGCCCGGGGGCCAGGAGACTGGCAGGAGTCCCAGCCTCTGGTGAATCTTTACTGTTTCTGGGCTCTCTGGCGTTCTCTTGTGGTCTCTTGGCTGCTCTCTACTGCACTCTGCTGCATGGTCCTCTGTGACTCTGCCTTTACATGCTCAGTCTCAGCTCAGGTGCTCACGCACACCCACACCACACTCCAAGTGCTACCATCAGGCACGCGTGTAAGCCCACAGGTGTGGATCACAGATGCTAATGGGAGGGCGGAGAAAACCTGATCACTCTCAATCACCCTACAATCCACCCCAGAGGGTTTCCGCCGTACAATCTACACAATAGTTTCCCTCAGCGAGTATGAACACTGCAGCCATGACCCACAAAGTAAACAATACAACTGAATGTAGCAATGCAACAAAATGCAACAATATGCAACTAAGCCCAGGGAGGGCACCAACCTAGGGGTAACAAGACAAGATTATTGTTGCCAGCAGATGATCCACCAATTCTGTCGCCGAAGGTTGCTGCAGATAGGACAGCCAATGAAGTTCTCTGCCATTGATGGAGACTCAAGAGTCTAAATGAATTTGCAGTGGGGAGACTGGGGAGAACCATCGAGAGCAGCCCTGCTTCTCACTCTCCAGCCCAAGCTTTTATTGAAGATAGGAAAAAAGGAACAAGAAAATAGCATGCAGTTGTGTGTGTGCTTATACAGATGAATAAGTTACTGCTGGAACAAACTTTCCTGGTTAACGGGAAACATGCACACACTCCAGCACGTCCTCAGAGAACAGAAGTCAGTTCTGGGGAGAAGTTCTGTTTGCGGAACTTCTAATGTCCTGGAGCTCCATATGCGGAGTAAGCAAAACTCTCTCTCCAAAAACTCCAGCTCCCTTTAGGGCAGCAGGCTCTTAACATATCCCTCTTTTTGTTTTCAAAGCAGAGTGAGCATAACTAGTTTTGGCATAACCTGTATGAATCTTTTGGTGTGGTGTTTTAAGTGATGCAGCAACTCTTGTATGAATGTGACAGAAGGGTCTCTTGCCACGGATCCTGGAATTCAACTGGAACCCAAGTGGCTTCCAGCTGTTTTAGTATTAAGAATGTGATCATTGGGCCTCCCTGGTGGCGCAGTGGTTGAGCGCTGGGTTGCGAAGCTGCCCGCAGCCTCTGCAGCGCTGGTTCAATCCCCGGCTGCTCCCCGGCCACCGGAGGAGGGTCCCACATGGCACGCAGACCTCTCCTGCCGCCCGCTGCTCCCCTCAGCAGTGTACTTCGGTCCTTCTGCCTGCTCTGCTCCCCGCTCTGGCTCTGGTGAATTCTCTCACCCTCCCGTGCTTCTGACTGTACCCAGTGCTTGTCTAAATAAATAAATAAATCTAAAAAAAAAAAAAGAATGTGGTAATTTCCCAATAATACATTGTTGCAGATAAGAGTCATTACAAGTAACATGATACATGAAATAGGATGCATTATAACTAACATGAACATTTCCTGACAACAAAATATGGATTAAGCACACAGGCAGAATCAAAAATTTTCTGTTTGGAAGGTCATGTTCATATGAGTTCCCATATACTGTAAGCCTCCCACACATGTAGGGGTGGTTGTACCAGATCCAGCTTTGATGGACTTTTGCATAGGCCTATATTTCAGCCTTTATGGTTGCCCAAGTTCTCCTGGTTTCAGATTTTCTCAGTCCCCCAGAGAGAGCAAGACACCGAGCAGCCATAGGGTAGGGGGCGTTGAGTCTATCTGGCTACTTCCTGCTGAAGGGGCAGAGTAGGGCAGGACAGCGGTGTCAGAGGGGGTCTGTCCAGGGGGCTGGTGCATAATCAGTGGACTGGAGATACCTGCAAGCTGAAGGTTTGCAGCGTTTAACCTGCGGGAGACAAAACTAACCAAGAGGTTCAGAATGCACAGACTAAAGAGAAGGCCAGCAGGAGTATGGCAAGGGGCCAAGCAAGTTGGGAGTAAATTTTGGAGGGTCCTCCAAGGCAAAAAGAAACCATGAATCTGGATGTAAGGGAATAAAAAAAAAATACATCGTTTAGGTCCAGGACTGAAAAGAACTTTGAATCTCCTGGTACCTGGAACAGCTGCCTAACTTGATTTTAATGGGAATGCTGGAAACTGCTCTCCCCAGCTGTGACCTGTCAGACCAGACTGATGGGTCAATTTCTACACTTACTGGCAAAATAAGGGTGCATAAGGGAGCAGCCCGCTGTGCTGGCTGGTGAACAGAAAGTGAAGCACCCCCCTGGCCAAGATATTTTTTTTTTTAAGATTTATTTATTTAGTTAGTTATTTTTATTTGTTTGTTTGTTTGTTTATGCAAGTACTGGGGAGGGTGAGAGAATTCACCAGAGCCAGAGCGGGGAGCAGAGCAGGCAGAAGGACCGAAGTACACTGCTGAGGGGAGCAATGGGCGGCAGGAGAGGTCTGCGCGCCATGCGGGACCCTCCTCCGGTGGCCGGGGAGCAGCCGGGGATCGAACCAGCGCCGCAGAGGCCGCGGGCAGCTTCGCAACCCAGCGCTCAACCGCTGTGCCATCAGGGAGGCCCTGGCCAAGATATTTTGTTGGACATTTGGGGATCACTAGGAAGGCATGCGGAAAACAAAAGGAGTCCCAGAGGCACCCCACAGGGGTAAAACACCTAGTAATAGTTTTTTTGGCTGCCTCCTTAACTGTCACCCCATTAGATGTTAATGACAAGGGACAAGGTTGGAGGGCGGAGGACGTGGCCCAGGAGCCGGCAGAAAGGCTGCTGCACGGTCTCCACCGCAGGGCGGGCCTGGGCACGGAGGAAGAAACCGAGAGGGCGGGGCCGTCAGAGCCTCCAGGGCCGTCTGCGTTCAGAGCAGCCTGGGCCAGTGTCTTCCCCAGTGATGACCCTGACACTCGGGCGTGTCTGAGAGGCAACTGCCCGCTCTCCGGAAGCCACCGCTTGGCCGGGCGCTCTCTGGACACGCCCTGAGCAGCCGCACTGACAGCTCTTGCCCCGCTCGTGAAGCACCCCTGAAGGTCTGAGAGCGGCCACCGGAGCCTCCACCTTGATATGGGCCTTTTGGGTCTTTTCTGTGCCTCCTCCTGATCCCTGCTGTGAAAGACTTGGGTGACAACAGTCGGGAGATTTTATTGTTTTATTGTTGTTTATTTTATTGTTGTGGGCCTACAGCCATTTTTTGTTATTTTTTTCCTGATATTCGGGGCTGCCTGTAGATAAATTATCTTTTAGTAAAGTCTGGCCCTCCGAGGACTCTGGGTCTACGTTTGTGTATTTACACAGTGCCTCCCGGTGGATCCAAGATCACCACGGGACTCTCGCCCCTTTTTTTTTGAATTTGCAAGAACATGTGAGATTTATTATTAAA